ACATTCTGCATTATATAAATCAGTGCTTCCTCATGCCCCTTTTATTGGAAATATTTTAATTGTCCCTTTTTAATCCTGAATACAGGTTCCTGGATAATACAAACTACCTACACACATAGTTTTTAAAAAAAATCTGTATCATGTCCTAACTGTAATGTATAAGAGAAATAAAAGTAAATTATAATAATTTGACATGTGCTTTCATATAGGTTTCATATAAAATCTATCAGTGAAGTGAAATGAAGCTGTTATAGTGAAGTGGATAATACCTGTACCAATGTGTAAGGTAATCATGAGTATAATAGCCACAAATATACCTTGATACTGCTGCATTGATTGGAAATTCAAATACCATGAAAAGTGTAGCAGTTGATTACATGATTTTTCAAAAAGCTTAAGAAGTCTTGAAAAGTACCAGGAAAAAATGGAAAGTAAATCTCTTCTTGATTTTCATTGTACTTGCATACCTTGAAAATACACTATTTTTACCCTTTCCCACTCTTTGCATTTACCATTGCTCATCCTCTGACAACCTGTCCACTAAAATTCCAGTATTTCCCCAGCCATTTTTTGGTAACTTTTTTTTCTTCTTTTAGTCTTTAGAATATTTGAAGATAAACTTTGATTGGAATAGAATACACACAAGGAACATAGACCCTAAGTATAACAACGTGATGAATTTTCACAGAGTTAATACAGGAGTATAATCAACACCTGGGTCAGGAAACATGTTATCAGCACCCACAAAGCTCCTTTTATACTTTCATCACTGTACCCCCACAAAAGCAACCTCCATTATCACTTTTAACACCATAGATTAATTATGTTGATCTTGAACCACATATATATAAATAGTTTCATTCAGTGTGTACTCTTCTGTTTCTGGTTTCTTCTCGAAACTGTACTGTCTCTACTGAGCTCTCTGAATTCCTTTTCAATATAATATAAAATGGTTCTACAATTATATGAGAAGAATAACTATTGTTATACTTGGCACAGGATAAGAAATCTAACTGACTTCAAGACTGAAGTGGGAAAAACAGAGTATCTATGATGTAAGTGTAATATTTATAAATAAGTGACCATAGATTTGTGGCATATCATGTTGAAAAGTGTAGGCTATCAATCCAACTGCCAGGGTTCCAATACCAAACTTTACTAGTTTGGTGACCTTGAAAAAATTAGTTTCTCTTAACTTCCTTATCTATGAAAGAGGGAGAACAATATTTGCTACCTCAAAGTATTGTTGTGTACTAGCTAAGGATATGGCTCAGATCCTTAAACTCTTGTGGTGAATATAACCAAGTTTTAATATCAGATATCTGAATTTAATCTCATTTTAATCACTTGCTTAAATTTAAGATAAGTCTTTTAATTAGTGTGCTACTTTCTTCTTCTAAAAGTGGAATATTAATAGTACTAACCTCACAGCTATTGGAAGAATAAAAACGAGTAAAAATATATATATATATATGTAGAAGAAACCATAATCTAGTCTTTGGAGAAATCTGTCAGAGGTTATTTTAATTTTTTTAACAAGTAATGTTCCCATTAAACAAATAATTTGCACAATATTTAGAGAGAAAATTTAATTATACAAGACTGGAAAATTCTTATTTTGTTTTTTTTTTTTGTTTTTTTTTTTGTTGTTTTTTTTTTTACAATTTAAAATGCTTTCTCAGATGAAAGTATTTTACAAATTCTGTAGTTAAAATATTCCAAGTCTGGTGATTAGGTCTCACATTTACAAGGCTTATAGTCAAACAATGACCATCATAGGTAAAGTCCTTTTTTTCCCTCATTTAATTTCAGGAAATATTTGGGAAGGGTATGGAATCACAAGAGGTGCCTGTGTAGCTCATCATTGAGCATCTGACTCTTGGTTTGGGCTCAGGTGATGATCTCAGGGTGGTGAGATCAGTGCGCTATATGGGGTCCATGCTCTGGGGGAAGTTGGCTTGAAATTCTCTCCCTCTGCCTCTGCCCCTTCCCTTATCTCTCACCCAGTCTCTCTGGCTCTTTCTCTTTCTTTCTCAATCAAAATATAAATAAATAAAATAATAATCATGTGCAGCACATTTAGAGCTGTGATCTCCTCTAAGGACTTTGCCTGGCCTTACCAGGCTCTAATCTCCTATATTTCATCATTCTCTGGCTCTCAGGGATGTAAACTTATAGTCCTTATCTTATGATCAATATAGCATTTAAATATTCCCAAGTACTTTTGTCTACCAGATCAACTCTCCCATTTAAGGTTTCTTGTCACTGATTAATAACTTAAGAGCAATCAAAGTTTAAAGTCTATATTTTGTGATTCCCCTTATACTAAATGTTGAAGATAATATTTAGCATGAAGTTAATCTTAATAAATGTTGAGCCATTATTATTATCACTGACCCAGTGATATCACTGTCCCGTAGAGGATTGTAGGAAGACTAAAGATAATTTTGAAAAACAACCAAATTAAACTGCAATAAAAATTCCATTCATTATCAATGGGCCAGACTACAATTTGTTTCCTATAATATGAAATGCTTGGAGTAAAAGATCCTCAGATTTATCCCAGTGAAAACCTTTCAGGATTACATAATTAGAATATCAGGTGATTTTAGTTATAATCATAAATATAAAATAAATATAGTCAAATTAGGGTAAAAAAGTTAGGAAGGCAGCTTTTTTTTTTTTTTTGCTTCCAAATCTGATGTTTTCTATCTTATTTAAAGCTGGTTACAGATATGCTGATAAGAAGGATTTTTATGACTACATAAGCAAATCTTTTTAGTTCTTATACAAATTTAATTTCCCTCCAATTCCTTTCTAATAATGAGAAATTTATATGCTATGTAAATAGAACATTGGTATACTTTATTTATATTTAATGGGTTTTAATATGGTCATACTGTGTACTCTATATAATCACTTCTGCCTCTACATGATACTAATTGGATCCCTTCTGAAACACATTAGGCCATTTATGCTGTTCCTTGTCTTAAAATGTCACATTTGCCAATTACCTCCTAAAACCCAGAGTTTGCTTTTGTTTACAGTCATTAAATGTACTTCAGCACTTCAGTGTTTCAGTAAATAAGGTTCTTTTTCTGATATATTGGCCAAATTTTGCTAAATGTCCTTGCAAAGTTAAAAAGAACAAAAAATATTAAGTATAAATAATCTACTTATCAATTCTTTTCTTGTATGAAGAAAATAAAACACAGATGGCTCTAGAAATTATGCTGTGACTCTGAGGATACAAATATATGGGAAGGAGGTTTAAACTATTGAGGTGGGAAGGAATTCTAAACATTTAAGAATAGGTACTTTTCAATATCTTTTGAACACAATGTTTTTCCTTTGTCCTTTTGATATAATATATTAATACGATTTCTAAAGAGGCAATGAAATGTGAGTACTAAAGTCACACTGCCTGGAATTAAATCGTGTCTTCACTACTTTTTGTAAATACAATAAAAACTCTAAACAAAATATTTTTTCTCTTCAGGATTTTATGACATGTCTTTATACATGAGCAGAAATAAAACTATAACAAGATGCAAATACTGTTTAAATATATACACGTATTTTTAGAAATAAAGACTGTAAAGTATATACTTTAATCTCTTCATTGTTTGGCTATCTGACACCAGGTAGACACAATCAGTAGTTTTCTTCTTATTGCTATCCTCAAAAATCTTAGTCACACCAACTAATCCCGTAGTTTCAGCTATTAATGCTATACCTGTCAATCCCCAAATCTATCAATCAAATTTGGGTCCAGCTCTCTCTCTATGGCAAGACCTGAATTTTTATAAATGAAGAACACAGTGAGTGTCACAAGAATATCAAAGCCTTTCTTTCCTAAATCAGAGTCAGCACTCTCGCCCTGGGGAGCTGTCACCCCAGGGTGACAGATACAGACACAGAATTACAGAAATTGGGTCTTTAAGATTCCTCCTGCAGTTGCTTCCCTATTCCTCTTAGATATCTCTCCTTAAAAATCTAACATAATATCTTAAAAATTAACTAGATCTCCTCATTATTTTAGTACTTACCTGTTTCCTATTTTGTCATTCATTGCAATATTTCTCAGAAAGGGCATTACAGACGTTGTGAGAGGGATCTTTATTTTGCAAACACAGATGCTTAGATTTGGAGAGCATTCAGTCTGTCTTCACATACAAGAATTTGTTAGATAGTAGAGGGATGGCACCTGCCTATCTTCCCATTCCAGCATCCCCAGTATTTAGCTTTACTGCCTGCCACATAGAAAGAATTCAAAGTTTGTTACTAAATTGAATAAATGTGCTGATGATCGGCACCCTAGTTCTCATCAGACTACATAACAAACTATTGGAATCCTGTTCATGAATTGTTCTTTCCATCTACATACAGTCCAAATTCCTCTAACACAGAGATCTTGCCTGTCTCACCAACTTGATAACTCTGGTGTCTGTTGAAAATAGTCAGACGTCGGTATTGTAAACTTTTAAAGGGGAAAATTGAAAATACAAGATTTAAGAGTGTTGCACTGCTGGGAAGACAGAAGAATAAGAACACTAAAGCGGGGTGAAGATTCCAGTTTCTTGAACTCAACAGTCCAGTTTTTCCAAGAACAGGTTGCCTTAGCAACATCTTGGAACGCTGCTCTAGCCCCGCCTATCTCCCGCCCCTCGCCACGCCTCACTCTGTGCCCGCCTACTCTGTGCTCTTACTTCCGCCCCAAGCTGCCAGCTGGACCTAGAGTCCTGCCTTCTCTACCCACATTTATATTGCCTGACTGAAAATACGACAGAATATAACCGCAGTTAGAAATACTTTCTTTCGTACTATCTGTGCTTTAGTCTCAGGGCTTAAAATGTAAAATCAGTAGATCTTTGTGAGTTGGAGGTTCCTATTGGCACGAACAACTGGAACGTATTTTCAGGCACTGCCTTAGACGACACAACATTGGAGGCCCCCTGATTGCTGAGGGAGACGTGGACCTGAGTGGGGCGGTACGTTCCCGGGCAGAACGGAGGAAGTGGGAGTCCACGCGGAATTGGCTGGGGTCTCCATCCGGAGTTCCCACCATGTAAGTGTTTGCTGACCCCGATCTCAATCTCTGGTCCCGCTGCACGACTTTAACTCTCTCCCGCTCTCCTCCTTAGGTCGAAGGTTTCTTTTAAGATCACGCTGACGTCGGACCCGCGGCTGCCTTACAAAGTGTGAGTAGCCTGGCGGCGGTGGGCCTTGCGGACTAGGGGTCGGGGGTGGGGACCAGGCTGGCCTTCAGATCCTCTCCCGCCCCAGCAGGCTGTATCCCGGCCCTTTCCTCCCTCCTCCGCTCTTCCTGAAACCTCCCCCATCCCGCCCCAGCCTGAAAGGAGACATCCGGCATCTGCCCCGCTGAGTGTCCACTTCCTTTGGTGCGAAGGAACAGGGGCGTGTGACGGGAACGTTGCTGCTGATAGGTGACCTATCCTCGGGACTCCATGGTGGGTTTTGGAGCGGGAGGACGTATAGACGGTTCTGATGATTTGCTGTGTTCCTTAAAGGAGTCCCTATCGGCTCCTGATTGGAAAGGCCTTTTGCCGCTTTGACCAACTGTTACAGGAAGTAGAGAAGACCGCCCAGTTGAGATTCTGTAGTTACCTGAACGTTTATCACTGTCCGGCTTCTGATTCCTGTGTGAGTGACTCAACAGTCGGGCGTCACAAAGTAATGAGCCTCAAATCATACACTTTGTATGTTGGGATTTAATGAAGTGTGATTAGCAGATATGGGAAATGCAGACATAGGCCAGTTACTCCACGCGAGGCCCTTTTTTCTCCTTTAGCAGTTTAATGATGGTTTGGCACAGGCTTAACTACATGGTCATCTGGAATTTTCTTAGATAAACATGATTGAGGTTATTGCAGCTGGAAGTCGCATAAAATGCAGCAAAAGACAAGACTTCAGTAGGATTTTAGGCATAGTTAATACAACTAAGCTTTTTTTTTTCCCCACATGAATCTTTTTCACCTCATCTCAAATATTCACAGTTACAGCCTAAAACCTTAAGGTCTTCAGTAACTGCTTCAGCTAAGGTGTCATTTTTAAGTAGGCTCTTGTGAATGACTACATTGTCTTCTTGTATCTAATGTGCTCTAATATTTCTTCTGTAAAAAAATGTTTCTTTTAATTCATTGATCAGACTGCTTTTTACATGTCACTACCCTCTTCCCCCGCTTTACCCAGTTCTTTTTCAAACTCTTGCAGAGTCCATGGTCCACTCTATCTAGTGGTCCACTGACCTCATCTCTGGTGTCCTCCTCTCCTCAGTATGTTTTGCTTGGTGAAACACCAACTCTGAACACTCAGCTACTGTGATCTCTGTACATAGCTGAATGTCTTTAGAGAAAATTACACAGTTAGGCTGATGGATTTTGTGTAAAATTCATAACTATGCTCAGTAGTACCTAATGCTCTGCTACAGTTCCCAGGTTTGCTTATTTTTCTTTTCATTCTCTGAGAGGATTTAAAAAAAAAAAAAAAGTCTTCATACTTTCCACAGTACTTTTCCCTTTCTCTGAAGCTGTGAGAGGAAAATTTGTCTTTCCATCATCACATATGTAAAGCTACTACTATGTCTATAAACCCATAATTTCTGTCCACCATCCTGTTAGAAAGGATAACCTGGCTTTATTCCTATGAAAAGCTAGCTGTACCACTTGGGCTCTAGATATCATCTATTTTAGTCTTCTCAAGATTAAAGTAGATGGAGTCCAGAGATCTCTGTCTCCTCATCATCTTTGATTTCTCCCTTTATACTGGGTTATTCTCATCACCATATAAATATCTAAGAAAAAAGTAAGATGGACGGAGAAAGGACAGAGTAGGGCAGCAGTAGTATCTGTAAGAGTGCCTGGAACTTTGTACCAGTTCAGTTAATATTGGTGACTGAATAAATATGATAGGCATACCTACTGTTTGTTGTTTATGTAGTATGTGTGTATGTATAATCTGTGTATAGGTGTGTGTGTATATAAAATAGGTATAACGTGTGCATGTATGTAAGGTTAATATGCTGTGTATCCTATTCAGAGTAATTGGTAACTAGTACTTGAGTACTGTTAAATGCAATTTTTTAAAAATTGTGGGAGAACACACTTTGACTTTTTAGTATCACTTTTCACTTGCCAAGCCAGTAAATGTGTGCTTTGATTAAAAAAAAAAAAAAAAAAAAAAAAAGTCCCTTGAGTTTCTAACATTACTAATAGTTGAATTCTAAAAAGGATGTTAACAGTTCCAGATTTATTCTGGGGGATGTCAGAGTTTTTATTGTTTGTTTTGTCTTTTGTTTTTTGATAAATTCACTCTTGGTAGTATTAGGTTATAGAAATGTTAAATCAAATGAATATATGGGATGAATTAAATATACCTTTGACTCTCTCAGTCTGATTCACGCTTCTCCTACTGGAAGTCATTATAATGTGTTGTGGTAGCTAGTGATTTTTATATTCAGTAATCTATAACTAAGTGAAGAAATGGGACACATCCCTAAGGTATTACATAATGATAATTTATTAAAATGTTAAAGCACAATACAGTGGTGACAAGTATTCAAAGAGAAATGTTAGATTACCAGCCATTTCTCTGCTTTAAAGATAATCTGTTTTACAGTCTTGAGTCATTTTTATTTATTTCACATTAGGAATTTTTTTTATATTTTTTTAACCTCTTTTTGTGTTTTTAAGTGTTTTCTTGGGGTATAATGTCAATTCTGTTTTCAGTTTTTAAATTGGAAAATTCATACAGATTGACCATTTAGCAGTAATCTTTCTTATACTTGACACTGTACAAGTTAATAACAAAATCACACATTACATCTCCAAAATGTTACTTCAGTTTGTATTAAGCCCTTTTTTCTAATGATGATATAAAGGTAGAAAGTCACTTCACATTTTATCATAGTAAACATATTCATTTTCATAATTTAATCCACTATTTCAGACTTGATTATTAAAATCTGGAAACACTAGAAGGTTCCTGAAGAGTTTAAGCTAGACTCTTTACAATGAAAATGGTGACTTTGATGCATCCGGTGAAGAGGTATTTGGACTGGAGATGGTAAAGTGGACTGACAGCTAAGGAGAGATTTGACTTTTTGAAATCCATTTATGGAAACAAGCAGCAGCCTATATACTAGACCTCTTTGTATCAAAATATATTAAGTTTCACCTATATAGTTTAATTTTTAGGTAGAACTGTAGACATCAGCTCAGTTATGAAATTAATTGCTCTTTTTTTTTTTTTTGTCATTTTAAAGTTAATGAACATAGTGTGCAGTCAAAGTAGAAAACCTTCAGCCTCAAAAGACAGCTTTGGCCAGCTCTACTACATTTGCCAAAATAAGGAACAAGGGGCTTTAAGAATAATCAGTTTTTTAAAAAATTCTTTTTCATTCTTCTTGCAGACTTAGTGTTCCTGAAAGTACACCTTTCACAGCAGTCTTAAAGTTTGCAGCAGAAGAAGTAAGTATAGAAATTGGAACAACCTGTATGGAATGTAGTTTAGCAGTATCTTTTTCAAAAGTCTAGGGGCACCTGGATGGCATAGTCGGTTAAGTGTCTGACTCAGTTTCAGCTCAGTTTGGTCTTAGGGTCTTGTGATCGAGCCCCAGGTATGCTTGAATTTCTCTTTTCTTCTCCCACCTGCTCTCTCTCTCTCAAATAAATCTTTAAAAAAAAAAAAAAGTCTTTTTAAATTTTGCATGTACTTTGACCCACCACATCCATGTGAATTCATTACTAGGTTCATGCTATCAAAAAGTTAAGCCCTACTTGCCAACAAAAGTGAAAGTTAAGATTTATAGAAGTAGGATGAATGAGTTAAACAAATCTCTATTTAATGCAACAATTGAAAATTATAAGGAAAAGTTATATGGAAAGGTTTGAGGATATGGGATATGGGATATGAGGATATGGGAATTTTTTTAACCAGCAACATCATTTTACAGTGTAATCTGTAAGCCTGTTTTACTCATTTTGATTATAGAATTATAAATTTTTTAATGTCTTCATCATAATTTTCAAGTTTTCTGTTTGAGCCTGTCAACTGCATAGTCTTTTAAAACATTCTTAGGTTTTTGGTTCTAAAAAAAAGATTTTTTTTTTCATCCAGAGTTATCATATGCATCCATAAAACAACTCTTTGGACATAACACTACAAGAGTAGCTTGTTCTGGTGGAAATAGCAGAAAAATGTGACTTGAGAGACTTAATTGTGTCATTAATTATCTGTATGACATGGACAAGCCTCTTAATTTCTCTTTTCTTCAAATTTCATATCCTGTAAAATGGGAGTAATTAATATCCATCTTTCCTGTCTGATTAAATGATTTTGAGTAAAAATATAATTGCCTTTATGGTATTTTGTGAAGTTGAAAGTGCTGTACAAATCTAGAGTAACTCAAATCCAAATGCCAAATGTTTTGATTCAGAATCTTCAAAAAAGTTTATAGTCACAGAATAATAATTTTAGTACCTAAATAAACTAGCTTAATGCATAATCCTATCCTGAATTTAAGCTATTAATGGAAAATCAGTCAACCCATCAGTATTTACAGATAGATATTGTCCAGGACCACTAACATTATTTATCATTCCTTCAGAATTAAACTGAAAAGTGGTAGTACTTGTTTTATAGTCAGTGTTTATCTTTTTCACCCATATAGTATAACTAAAAAGAAAAAAAAAAGAATAACTAAAAAGAGCTAGGAAACAGCATTAGCATTACTTTCTGCTGCACAGATCACCTCCAGGAAACATTCCTGGTCCTGGGGAATAGGAGAGATCCCACAAATTACAATTTAAAAAGTAGGTCAATTTGAGTTATAATTAAGTTTTTATTATTATATTTTGTAGTTATATATGTTTTTTGTAAGGCAAAGGCATTGTGATCTTGGTCTTCTAGTAAAAGTATAAAAAATAACAGACATGCAATAGAAAATAAACTTACAAATTTCACATTACTACATATATTTATTGAGGTTTTAATATAGCTTATAACTTATGAATCGTGCGTATTATACATTTAGAAAGGTTATGACTTTGAGGCATCAATGAGGGGGCCTTTCATAAGATGAGACATAGGCTCTTACAGTGAAGATAAGTGTTGACAAACTGAACCTATGGATTTAAATTCCTAATAAAATATTTTTTAAAAAATAAGAAAATTCCCCAATAGGATTAAGAATTAGCTTAAGTAAGTGTAAGTAGTGAGTTGTCAAAAACCTAAGAATAGCCTTTTAACATCCTAAATTAAAAGATTAGGGGGGTCTGAGAAAGGAAAGAAATGAAAATTTAGGAGCATGAAATACTTTGCATCCAGAAGAAAACTTGTCAGTAGTGTAGCATGAACATAATAGTTGCTGAATTTTACATCACTAGTGATGCTTCCCCAGATGTCTGCTTAACTGTTGCTTCTACATTCTGGAAAAGGGAAAAATTATGTCAGCAGTTGCTTATTTTTAATGTTCATAAATATGCTGCCACTATATGGCTGTGACTAAAAATGCATAGCTTATCCTAAAATGGACATAATCAAAGAATAAGATACCCAGTACGGTAACTAGAAACTTTGTAATGCTCAAGTTTTAGAAATCTGAGGTGTCCTATAATTAATTTGGGTATTTGCTCAAAGTTTTATTAAGTATTATAATCTCTATAAATAATTCTTGAAGTATTTTAATATTAAAGCATATTTTGAAGTTACTTTAAGTTAGGTTTATTTAAATTTTTTTAAATCCTTAAAAGGACATTTACAAATAAAAATGTACCATGTGGACAGAAAAGTTATGTGTTTATTAGGTACATAATCCAGTAACATGTTATGTTCTTGTGCATAAATTTTTATTTTAAAACCTAATTTTTTAATTTATAAATTAAAATAAACTTTTTAAAAAAGTTTACAGTTTATTAAAATAAACTTTAGTTGTTTTTCTTAACTATGTATATGTGATCACTATAAATTCCTGGAGCAGCATTTCCCTGAGTACTTTTCCAAGACCACTGGAACCACTGAAACAACAAAAACCATGAAAAACTAGAATCTGTGGCCGAAAGAATATGGGAAATACTTCATTCACCAAATCCTTCTTGACATTAAATAAACTATATTAGCTGCATCAAATTTATTTGATCATAAAACTCAACTGTAATATCTATAAAACTAGTCTCTAGCGTAGAAGTACTTAATAAATATTTGTTAGGTAAATGAATGAGCTTATGAGTTAGATGAATGAATGAACTTATGAGTACATGAACACATTTTGACAGCTGCTGGTCTCTAAAGAATTAAGAGAAGACTTCTCCCTTTAGCTACCAATAAGTTCTATACCACATTTTATTGATTCAGAAAACGCATCTTTTTACACCTCTGGAAGTAGATCAGTTAAGTCTTACTCTCACTATTAGCCATTTAGCAGTCACATAATTGTCTAGTGGACATCATCTGCACCTACTTGACCTTAGTTGTTATTTCCTGGTGGCACAATTAGACTTTTGGAATCCTGTGAAATATAAGTCAGCAATACATTCATAGGAGAATTTGAGGAAGATATTTGAGCTTTGGTTCATCTTCCATTAAATACAAGAGAGCATTTGTTTGACCTTACTTCTATAGAGAAATTTTAGGAACTATCTAAGCCATTGTTTTATTTTCAATTAGACAAGAGAGTTATATATGATAAAACTAACATGCCCAAGTCTGAAAGAGTATATTTATTGATAGTGTTTTTCCTTTTTTGTAATGTTTGGTGTCCTAGATGCAGTGAAACGCAGTATTTAGAAAAAGATACTGTTCATTAAGTATAAGCCAGTTATGGTATTTTCTTTGTTGACATTGTCCTAAAAGATAAATCACATTTTAGGATTATAGAGTTGATTATATGTACCCCATCCTTGCTAACCATCTTTTATAGTTTATGTACATAAATATATATTTTTACATAAATGTTTATAAAGATAAAAAATAATTTTTTTCCTTTTTCTTCTTTTTAGTTTAAAGTTCCTGCAGCAACAAGTGCAATTATTACTAATGGTAAGAATTCATTTTAAAACTATTACTTCAGAGCTAGAGAAATTATTTAAAAGGCAGATTAATTAAAATTGACTTAAATACAAAAACGCCAAAATTTCTATCAACACTTTGGCCTTTTTGTAAATACTAAGTCAAGGTTATTGTCCATAATGAGCTCTCTTCGGTTTCTTTATGCTTCTGGTTTAGTATAGCACTTCACAGTATCTGTGTCCTCAATTCATGCCAGATTATTAGTAAAAATTACCTTTCCCTTTATTAAACAAGGTGCATTGTTTTTAATAAGTTGTAGGTACTTTTAGAATATAGGAAGTTACATGGCAAAGTACCTTTCCTATAGCATTTTCTTGCTTTCCTGCAGTAAACTATTTTTTATAAGCTTGAAATAATGAGGATTTTATTCAATTAGATCTATAGTTTAAATTCTGAATATCTTAGAATACAAGTAATAATTGTGATGGTTTATATATGACAGAATTTCTCATTCTGAAACATTCCATATGCTGTCAAATTGAGGTGTTTCTCTACCTGAAAAGAAAGCCAGTCTACTTTCTGGAAAGTTTTAGGTTTACAAATAAGCTGTTAAGAAAATGCTTTGTAAACTTTCATCAGGTGTCACTGCAACTTGAATTAAATGACTTTGTGGGCTCTCCTGGCCTTAAGATTTTATGCCTCAGGAGCAATATGTAAATGATTAAGGACATACCTGAGGTGCTTTTGACTGTATTTTTCACTGGGTGTTGTGTGATAGAATACACTGTCTCTGTGGAATTTATCAGGATCATGGCATCGACAGCTGTTCTTGTCTAATCCAGCAGCGTGTGTAAGTGGATAATAGTAATGGATTTCAATAGGTAACTTAGCTGAAAGATTTGTCATTCCTGTTTTTGGATTTAAATTGTTTGGCTTGTGCCTATATATCCCATAGCAGCAAATCTCTTATTACTGTTAAACCATTTTAGCTTTAGAAGTAAACAACTTAGATAATTTTATGACTTACTTTCTAGATGGAATAGGAATAAATCCTGCCCAGACTGCTGGTGAGTATTTGTCTAGAACTCATGAAGATGTGGGTGGGGCTATGCATGTCAACTGATACATGTGGTTCATTCTGATTCAACTAGATGGGATTTTTACTAGAATAATAGTTATTTTTTAGGGATTATATAGGAGTCCTTAGCTGTGTCTCTGAACAATAATTCATTTCCTTGGGGGTATCAGATATATAAATGCTTTCGGCTACAAGGAAGAGAAAACCTCACTAATAAGCATTAAAGGTGTTTAATACATGGAACAAAAAGTGATGGTAAGATCATCCTCTTATGGGAATAATGATTTTGATAGTACATGAGAAGTGCTTAGAAGTTTGCATTATTATCCATAGTATGCATTCAGTATGTGCTAGCTGTTAACCGTTCTTTTTAAAAAGTACAGTCAGTTAATATTTCAGGAGACTTAGCCCACACTCAGAGCTTCAAACTTAGTATTACACTGTGCTTGCTGTACGTTGATGTCCTAATAAGCAGGCAAAATAAAAATAATCTTAAACTTCTTGATAGGTAATTTTATATTTTTTAGATGCACCTTTTTTTGGCTTATAATCTAATTACAGTGTTTTATAATTAAGCATACTTTAATGTGATCTCAATTTGAGCAGTAGTTACGTTGAAATCATTCTAAAGTACTTCCATATTATAACAAAATTATATTTCCTCATAAGGCCTTGGAATTGAAATTTAGCCATCTAGAAAATAAAGAGTGATTTAAAATTGTAGTTTGGTTTTTTTTTTTTTTTACTTAAATCAGTAGTTTTAAGTATATAATCCTTTTTATTAAAAAGATTATTGAAAATCATGAAGCATTTTATTGTAGAGATATCTTTAAAATTAGGTTTAAAGGTTTTATTTCTTCTTACTGTAGAAATGTTCAGTAGTTCATATTAATTCGAGTTACTGCTTATTGTGACATGCTGCCTGTTGTATTACCCTTAAAAGTTGAATTGTGCATATCATGGGCCATGAAGAAAATCTCAGCAAGCAATTGAGCAAAAAGCGGTCAGATCAGGTTGCTAAACTTTGTCATTTGTGGTAATTTAGATTTACTGTTCTTTCTGTCCTTAGATATTTTATTGTATATTGAATTAGCAAGTATTGATGATTAAATTACATTGCTGTTTGCTGAGTGTATGTGTTAGCATTTTTGTGGCTAGTGATATTTAACATATTCAGAAATTTGGTTGGGTTATGAAGATGTGAGAGGAATGGGAACAAGCCTTAAAGCATGGAGTTAGTCTGAAGCTATTTGAGCTTCTGTAGCTACTTAGTTTATACTTTTTTGTGTCTTATATTATGATCATTGTTGGAATGTTAAGATAACTTGTCATTTTTTAAATACATAACTTTGTATTTTGTTTGTTTGTGTAGGAAATGTTTTCCTAAAGCATGGTTCAGAACTGCGGATTATTCCTAGAGATCGTGTTGGAAGTTGTTAATATCTGCTACTTGGAACATAGGATGACCTTTCCAGATAAATATTGGTATTGTTGTAAAACTGAAGTTAGGCATTTAAAACATGATGAAAACACCAGTAGTTGATGAAATAATGAAGGGTGACTCTGTCCCTTCTTGTTATTCACACGCTTCCTGTGAAGAGGGACTGCTATGTATAGAGGGTACCATCTCCACAGAAGACCATAGTCTGTCATCGCTACCTCACAACACATACAGATAGTTCATTCGGGCTAAGTGGATTATCCAGCTGTGTTTTGTAGGTGGTGGATGCTTCTGATAACTCTTTCTGAGAACATTTGGACAATTAAAGTTTACTGAATCTTCCTATTTGCGTTAAAAATTTAAAAGGACTGCGGGTCATACATGGCAGTTTGCTTGATGGCATCTGACTTGTGCACTTAAAAATAGTTGATTCTTAATTGTATGTTCATGATAAAGGATATAGACATAACAATGAATACGTAACTATCTTTTTGTCATTTAGGTTTTTTTAAGTTTCAAACTATATCAGAGACCCCAAAATTGAATTTTTTGATCTAGCCCTTATGTGTAAAATTGATGTCCCACCCCAAAGAGTTTTAACTATGATCTTGCAGAATCCAGTACTTGGTAAGAATTGAGAATAAAGTAGAACCGTTCTTTGCTGAGTTATGTATCCTTTATCAGTCTCTGAATACAACCTTTAAAACAACCTCAGGAAACCCTTGTCTTATTGAGGCTAGTATTTCTAAACAACATTCAGGAAAAGGGTATTGGAAAGATCTGGAATTCACAACAGAGCTCTAGGAAATGCTAATTGAAAATGCTGATTATTATACTGATTAAAGACCCAGCATTTAAGGAGGTGTTAAGTTTAGCCACTGAAGTGATTAAGAAGTGAGGAAGTGGGGAAACCCCAATGACCAGTTTTCTGGTAAGGAGGAAAGAAACAGAAGACACAATGAAGGGGAACAGAAAGCTGTAGGAGAGCATCACAGAACAAGCCAACTGGATCGGCAGAAGTGCAGTGTGTGTTGTGGAGAACTGAAGAGGAAAAGAAAATATATGACATTTCGGAAGGAGCAGAAGGCAATTAGAGAAAGCAAAGTGTAGGCTTTGTCAACACACACACTTCAGAATTCCCCTTATGATAATCTAAAGAGTGATGTGCATAAGGGAAGAGTTTATTTGCCCTTACAGAGGAAATCAATATCTATGCAAATCTTGAAAGATGAAAGGAAGGCTCATAGTGATTCAGAACCAGTGCTTGGCCTGCTGTATTCTGGATGGCGAGCTCCCTGGAGGCTGGCTTTGTGTCTGTCGTGCTCTTTCTAGACCTGGAAGTGTAGTAGGCTTTCAATAAGTACTTGCTGAATTATTCATGAATAAAGTATCTCTTAAGACCAATTTTTATCTAAGTGTGTTTCACTTATATTCCCTGTCATAGGCCCTACTAGGTTCATTGGGAAAAAAATGTGTAAGGAGATGTAACCGGGTCAGCATCTCAAGGGTGACATTGGTAGTTAAGTTTAAGAAATTAACCAGATGTTGTCATATATTTGACAAGTAAACAATAAGATTCTAAATCGTGAAGGTAGAAAAGTATGCTTCTAATATTTGGGGAAGTTTTTATTTTTCTAAACAAAACTGATGCTCAAAGATCCCAGGTTTTTAACGTCATTAAGCCTCAGTTAACCAGAAATTTATGAATACCCATTCTGTGAATTTTTAAATTTAGACTTCCTTCATCCTGTTTCCACAACAAAATCGTAAGTTATGGTGTCCTGTGCTATAAAGTGATTTGTTTAATATTTTTCTTCTTTGGTTTTGAAATTTTGTTGTAGTAAATTAAACACATTTAAATTAAACACATTTTCCTAAAGAACTGGACATTTTGTTATTAAATAAATGTGATCTGTAAGTTCTTTGTGCAGAATGTTTTGAAGTAATCATTTTGTTTAAATACATTATTGGTACATAATTAATATCGTATGAAAATACTTTTGTCATACTGTAAACTGTATTGTCTACTCTTATTTCATTATTAAATCTCCTGATCAGCATACCTGTTGAGCTGGTGTATCACAAATGTTGCCAAAAAAGGTGGGGGGGGGTGCAAAGATGATTAATCGCCATAGGTCATAGAAATGAATATATACTTCCAAATGCCAGGCTTTCAGGAATAAAAAAGAGATCATAGTAATTGGGTAGGCCAGTAGGTTCCAAACCTAAGTGATTATCAGAGCCACTTAGAGAGTTAAAAATAAGGGTCTCTAGAAACCACCCATAAAGTTTTGAATCCTTAAATCTGGTATGTCACAGAACAATCTCTGTTTATAAAAAGCATTCCTGGTGATTCCTCTTGTGCAGCTGTGTTTGAAAATGATAAGGCCAACCTTTTCACTTTGTAGATGAACAAAAATAAGTCCAAGGTGTCAGGTGTCAAAGTGACTAGGATATGTTCTAGAACCTTGGAAGTGTACATTCCACTTCTTGGTTCTCTAGTAGCTGACTAAGTGCAGAGGTACTAACTAATAGTCTTTCTCACTGGTAGTAAAACCTCATTTTAAAGTGTTTCAAGTACAGTCGTTTTCGTGGATATTTTATTTCTTAAAATTAGTTATTTGAAAGAAAAGTTAATGGCAAGAAAATTCAGTCCCCCTTTAAGGCCCCCTTTCCCCAAATTAAGATATTAAAAATATCTACTATGTCTTTTACTCAAGGCATTGAAATATTTTTGAACCTGGAAGTATTAAAATACCTTAATGGAGTAATTCTAAATTGATTGTTAAGTGTTCCCAAGGCCCTTTACAAAGTGGTAGATTCTTTACATAGGTAAATTGTGTGTGTGTGTCTATATACATATGTGTATTTACATACTATACAGTTTGTGGTTACATATGTATGTACACATGTATGTGTTTTACATATGTAATTTATCCAAATGTATTGAACTCATCTACTATGTGTCAAATACTTTGATATGCTCCCTCATTCTTCCCAACAATTCCAAATTATTAACCCCATTTTACAGAAGAAGAAAGGCTTAAGTAGGTTGATATTTGAATTTGATCCCTTTTATGACTTTAGAACTCTTTCCATCAGACAAGGAGAATTTTTTTAGTATCTTTTTTTTTCTCCACAGTATACCAAATCTGTATCTGTACTGAATTATAAATTTAAAGATATAAAAGAAAATGTCTAGGACTTCAATTCTTATTTCAGAGGACCTAATATGTGTGTAATAATCATGAATGGCATTACTTTTCAATACATGGTATAAATTTGATGGTGTAAATATGTTAAAATTATAGAACATTTAAGTAAAAGTCAAAGATAATTAGGATTCTGGTGCTACTCTGTAGGTTGTTGGCACAGTGGGAACAGGACTGTGGCGCCATCAGCTCCATCAGACAATATATGTTCCTATAATTTTATGTATCATGCAGAGGCAGCTACAAGACTGGTAACCTGCTCTTCCAACAAGACTGTTGCCCATAAGCTCCCCTAATACAGAAGTTCTGTAACTACACTCCAACAATACTAGAGATAGATAAATCATTATTTTAATCAGGCTATATAATTAAACCATCTTTGGAAATAAACATTCTCAAAAGGTTTAGCCTAATATATTAGCTACAGCCTCCAAATTGCCTACACCAGGCATTTGGAACTCATTAGAATTTTTTCCTTTCTTTTGCCCTAGCAAACCCATCACAAGGTTTTATTGATTCCATTTACAAAATCTATCTCAAGATTACTGTAGTTACAGCCCTCATCCTCTCCTAAATGCTATTAGAAAAGCTTCTATTCGTTCTGTTCCCTCTTTCACACTTGCTGTAATGCGGGTTTTGACCTGGAAATACGATCGTGTAGTTCCACTAGTCCAAATCCTACTGAATAAAAATCTCTATATGACGTGTGAGACCCTGCATGGACTGCTCTGTGTTCAGCGTCCTCTGTTACCGTGACTGATTTGTACTGCAGCTACACTGAACTACAAATATTTGGTATCTCCAGTGTACTGTGGTCTCACACCTCCATGCTGCTTTTCTCCAGAGGTCTTCCTGAAAAACCCAGGACTGACTTTTCAAGATTAAAAGGCATGGAGCCTTTCCTCACTCCTCCCACGCAGAACTAGGTGCTTAACTCTCCAAGCAACCATTGCATTTTGGACATTCCTCCATTGTAGCAATTGTTAAATACAGAGTTATCAAATTTGTCTCTGATTTAAAGTATAAATTTTATAAAAGCATAAGACTGTGACTGAAACAGGATCTCCAGACTACCTTCCCTGTAATAGATAATAAGTACTTTATGATCAAAAGACTACGTAAAAGAATAAAAACTTTGAAAATTGCAACAATTTGTGACTCATGCCTAATAACTTATTTTGCTAAAATATTTGGTTAATGAATATATTCCTCACCATTTCTTGTAGCAGAGAATTTACTCTTGACTCAGAAATGAATTAATAATATAAAAGTGAAAAGCATTCTCCCATTTTTAACAAATATATATTAATTATTAACTGTATCATGGGAATTGGTAAATGCTGGAGATGAAATATAATCAAGACTTCCTTATCTTTGGTTTCCAAACATTTCAGAAGCAGCAAAATCTACTAAAGATATAATTGTGTGGAAATGAAGATGTTTATCAAGCCCTTTTTTAATGTGCTGGGCACAGTGCTAGGCATTTCACTAGCATGATCTCATCTAATCCTTAATCTCTGTACCAAATACTGCTTTTTTCTTTTTTTCTTTACTGTTAAGAAAGCCAAGATTTATGCTATTGTTAGAATAGCTATTAAAGTTAGAATGAGATTGGCTCCTAGGGTTGCATGGTTATAGACTACCCTGCAAATTATTACATGTTTGCTATCATTTTCCTAGAATTATATTGGAATACTTTTTCCAAAATGAAAAAGGATACTTCATAGGTTGCTTTTGGACATTTCTGTGATCTCACTTGGCTTGAAAATTTTAGCATTCAATAATCTGTATAGACACACTTCGACTCTTTTTCAGTGTATATGTATATATAGATACACACAACAAAGAATTTTGAACATTCGAGAAGTAGGTTTATGGCTCCATAATCTGCTTTGCTATACAGAGGGTGTTGTGGTAATTTTGTCTTTGGATGCAGAACAGCGGCCAAGGTTGGCAGACAAATTCAGAGAGCCAGTTTTTGGCACAAATCTCTGATTTTCTGGCAAAACTCGTTAGCAATGTAAAAACTGTTATTGAGAGCATATTGTGATGATACATTATGTCAATATTTGTTTGGCTGTGTAACACTGTGGATTTAATAAATTAATTCTTAAATGTACAATTTACAAATGATGAGCTGTTTTAGAAATAAACTGTATGTGGTATGTGTTGTCAGTGCCACAAACATTTTGATGTCTCAAGGACTTGACTCTGATTTTCTAGATAAATGTACGGGTGGATTACGACTCGTTGAATTAGCCTTCAGCGTGCAAATTACGCAGGAATGAATAAGTAAATGAGTGAGTCACAGAGGTCTTAATCCTTTGTGACCTCTGCCATAGATCCATTATTATCTGCTAGACTGTTTTACTCAGCATTCTCGGTTTGAGCATAGAGTTAGAAAATACCTAAAAAAAATTGTTAAATTAGTAAATCATTTTTTCTTTACTTATTTTCTTGGCATGTGAGAGAAGTATACATGGCACTTTGAGCCTAAAACCTAAATTATAAAGGAAAAATCACTATTCTTCCTTTAAAAAAAGTACATATGGACAACTAATAATATTTCTTGAGTTTCTAATATGTATTAGGCACTAGGTTTTATGTTTTACATTCTTATTTAATCCTCTTTGTAGTCTATGATGTCAATAATATCTTTTCACCATACTTTGGATTACTAAAGAAGCTGGATTTTTCGAGATTTGGTACTTTCCCCAAGGCTCTGCAACTACTAACCAATAAGGTGTCAAGCCTTACCTGTGCAGGCTCAGGACATACACTCTTAGCCACTGCACTGCACAGCTTCTTGGGGAGAGGGGGTGCTGGGGCCTTAGCCTAGTTCAAAACCTGGAAAGCTGGTGCCTCCCTCTGGCCCCTTTCTGCCTCTCTCTCCAGCTTCTTCCTCATTCTCCTGTCCTATCCAACGCCCCCCCCCATGTACCTTGAAGTCTGTGAGAAAGGAGGGTGACATGAATATAGTTGCATCTATATTTCTTCATGTTGCTTCATAGCTATCTACTTGAAAATTTTTCATCTTTTTTCAGTCATTCATTTACCAAGGATGAGAACATGAATTAGACCAGCTCACTCCCCTTCGGAATTAAAGTCCACCCTCCCGAGGCTTGGAGAGCAGGCTGTGTGGGCAGCAGTTTCTAGAACTTCAGCCATCTTTGGTAGGTCTCATTGGATGTT